CTTCTTGGCATCAGAGCTGAAAGTCTTTTTTGGCTCTTGTACTTTGGACCCGAGGTTGCAGAATAGAGAGATTACATGATCCAACAACTTGTGCTGATAGTGAACTTTTGACCATCTCTCTGCCTGTGAATGCTGCGTGTGGGTGTATTTAATGTCTGCAGTCAGAAACAGGGAAACCGTTTAAAGTGTTTGCCTTATCAAAGTCAGCAGGGGAAACGCAGCCTTTTCCAAATATCCATCTGTCTGTGGCTCGGATCTACAGTATTTTGGCTTCTGTGACAAAAACAAATGAGCCCATAATTAATATCAGATTATTTATTCATTTTAATTCTGTTTTATGATTAGTGTGCCACTTCACATGAGAATATCCATCATATAGTGTTTTACTGTGTTTCAGGCCCACCTTTTTTCTCAGAAAGAGTCCTTTTGTGTGTATTTACTTTGAATCATGCTCATGGCCCACTCTTCTTATTCTGTTGCAAGTTCCTCTTTGAAATGGAATTTCTCAAATGTCCATACTTGTCAAAAGGCTTTTGTACAAGGAAGGCCATTCCAATCTGTTTTCTGTCAGATTTAAAATAGGCTTTAAACAAACTTTTAAATAATTTTATCTTGAAAAAAAGGAGCTAATTTACTTAAAAGTAATCCTAATGATCATCATGTAAATGGCGATTTTTTCCAAATAAATGTCAATTAATTTGTTTTTTTTAATTTCACCATTCAATGATCATTTGACCTTTGATGTTATTTTATGTATAATCACTGTTAATTGTTTTTATAGTTTTGATAATGGTGGCATTACTTACCATGATATACAAATACATTTATACTAACATAATTGGAATGGTAAATGTAATTAATTCATATATATTTTTAATATGTATTTGTCAAAATAATATTATAGTTTTGGATTAAATTCATGAACAGCATATATTGATAACCAAAAAAATATGTAATCTTCTTTGACTATTTTTTTCATTAATTTGAAATTAATAAATTTTTTTCCTGCCCATTGAGCATAAGTACTAAGGAAATACTGATAGAAGAACAACTTAATGGCTTTGTAATCTAAGTGGTTTGAAGATAATAAAAAAAAGTCATTTCATTTCATTTTCATATATGTATGATCACTGCTTCAGTAAAAAAAAAGTGTCTTATACTGTGGTCTTCTCCAAGCTTAAAAAAAAAAAAAACATTATGGCAGAGTTAAACATTGAATTATTGATCAGCTAGCGTGGTTTGTTCTGGGTAATTAAGCTGTGAGTGTTGGTGGGAATTGATTGTTGAAAGTTTAAAAGACAACAAAAAGGTCAAACTGAACACATCAGTGTCCTTTTGGTTGCGCGACATGTAATGTTCTCCAATTGGATAGAGATTAGTGGATGATTACATATTTACTCGTGCTGCTGAAACACACGATTTATCAGAAAAGAAAGGAAAACGATTCTTATCAAAATCTGTTTACTGGATGTACAGTTTCCTCACAGGGCATCGTAACTTGAGTGTCTTGAGTAACAACTCTCTCTACCATATCCTCTTCTTCAACTTGCTCTGAAATAATCTTTAAAAATATTGTAAATATATATATTTTTAATTTATTTTTTTTCTTTTACCCCTCCTCCTTATTTGGTATTTTGTCAACACATTGCTTTCTCTCTTAGCAAAAATAAGATATAGACGTCGAAAAATTTTGAAGATACGCCACAATGATACCAAATTATAAATTTGAGAGCTATATGTCTGAAAACTCAATCCAGTGTGTTGCTAGAAATTTATATTTATTTTTATGACTTCAATTTTATATTTATGAAACCCTTTTAGACATGTTTGTCAGCAGGGGAAAATAAACAATCTTCTCTTAGTTCATCTTTAACAGGTTTAGAAAACTTGCTTTGTAGCAAACTCGTTCTGTTGTAATAGAGACATTTCTACATAATTCCTGTCCTTGACTTTTCAGAATGTTGCACACAGCAGCTTGGGCAAGTTGGCAAGCTACTAAAAAAGCAAATTTATGAAAATATCATGAGCTAATGGAGATTTATTTCAAAACTTTGAATTTGGTGTAAACACAAAATGGTGGGTCTACAGAGGCGCATGTGAAATACATGAAGAACCCTAAAATGGCTCCAAGTTCAGCAACCAATGGCAGACTGCATCGCCCTTTTTTACAGCAGCCTATCACAGCTCAGTGAGCGACTTACTTCACCTTACAGTAGGGAGGCATGGTGCGCACTGATAGGTTACTGGAAAGCGCACCAGGCACCAGGCATTGGCCACAGCGCTCGGAGATGTTTGACAGTAGAGTTACTAGGCTGAACAGCAGGCACGGTTTTCATACCCCCTGTGCAGTATGTCAACCAATCATGAAGAGCCAGCTCAGGGCCTTGTTATTATTGTAGCGGCTTAAGGGCAGGAAACTACGCTAGCACATTTCATCACTGTTGGCAGTCCATGATATACTCCAGAAGTGTAGCACAATATACCCCTACGAGAATACTCCCCACAAAACAAACCTTACCACTATTTTATCCGTCTGGACCCTCCTCAAGAGATTTTCCCTTTAAGAGTATTGAGACATTTGGTGTTTCAAAGCCGCCGTGGTCCCATTGAACATGGCTGTGCCTCAACACACTCCATGCCAAACCTGAGAATGGGGATGCCATGTGCAGTTTCATGGTCCCCGGTGGTGATGAGGTTTTCTAGGGGGCTCACCGATCCAGCCCAAAGAAACCATAATTAGCTTTTCCATCGGGCATTCAGGTGTGTGTGCACGGCTCAGAGGGAGGCGGCCATTGTTTGCTGACAAGTGGAGTTCTCTGTCTCCCCCTCTCACTTTCTCTATTCTCGGAGCAAATGGATGGTATGCAGTGTGGCTGATTGGAGGTGAGAGCCATATCGGTCGCTGGAGATTCACTAATGCAAACTCAAAACTACTGTGTATTCACTATTCACAGTCCATGCCCACACAGTAATCAGATAGCTGGCCAACTGACAAGCGGCAGTGGAGTGGAATGTGGAGAGTGGAGAGAGATGGATGAAAGACAAGGCAAATGCCAGCCTTTGTGTTTGCGTGTTCATGTGTATGGCTCACTCTAACTGTGCAGCTGTGCATCTAGTCAAAGTACAACAGGCATATTGTCAAAAATTGGACCTATTCTTTTTTTTCCCCCATTTGGTATTCAGCATGTTTAATAACCAGGTCATTCTCTTTCTGGCCATTAATTCCTTGATGCAATAACTCTGAAGGATGCGCCGCTTACAGAAAAGGCTTTTACCAAATCACACTTCTGAATTGCACCTTATTTGTCATGTGTCTTTATAGTGTATAATTTCATCTACCGAATTAATTCAGAGCTAAGCTCCCAGTGTCAGTCAGGAGAATGGAGGGAGCTAAATGAGTGGATATTCCAGCCAAATAGAGGGGCGAGTGTCATTCCAGGTTAATTAAATCCCTGCTTTGAGTCTGGCGTGAACATAGACCTCTTTCAGGATGATAAAGGCAAACTCCTTTATTTCAGCTAGGGTGTCGGCAGCACAATCACAAGTCTGATCAGTTTCCCACATTTAATGGCTAGACAGCTGTGTAAAGCACATATTCTTTCATTGGCACACACATGCACGTTATTGTTTCACATGACATTACTGACAACAAATGACACCACGTTGCAAATGTTCAGATTTATGAAGGTAGTGTCAAGCTTTAAGAAAAGTAACCCTTTCTGCTGATCACAGGAGGATTTGCCACCAATCTTATCTAAGTCATTATGTATCCTATACTTATCTCTTCCCAGCATGCAATATGTGCTTTTATACAGCACAGACTGCGCTTTGTGGCAAATAGATGTTTACTATGCATTACAGCCTGCAGTCTCTATGAAATGCTCTGTTAATTCTAAGACGACAGTATGGAAGTTGGTTCCCTCTATAATCATAATGTTCCACATTATCGTGTTTGTAGCTTACTATTTCAACCTCTTAGTGTTTTCTTTTAGTGCCATTCTGGATAGGAGATTAACCGAGCAGCAGTGTTGGTTATCCCTCCTAAGGCTGTGGAATAAGTTGCTAGTCTCCCGCTGATTTTCACTCTCAGCATCCCCTCATGGTGCCTCATTAAGACACAGAGAAACAAGTGCCTCCGACCCAACGCTCTAGTAAGGCCAGGCCTAACATGTTGGTACTATACCACATTATACATCTCATTGTGTGCCATGGCCTTCAACAGAACATTGGTTTGCTCCGAGCATGTTTTCTCAGATTGTGTTCTGTCCCTGTTTTTCTAGTTTTCTCGTTGTTTCCAGAGGGGAAGACAAGGATGGGTGGAGGGATGTATTTTTCTAAGAGAGCGAAAGGGAGAGAGAAGCGGGTGTTGGGATTTGGGGATAAGCAATTGTTTTCTCATTGAGCGACATTTGAAGGTCAACTCTTCACCGAATAGGGCACTTGTGAGAAGCCAAAGAATTTTATTTCAGTATGAATAATGCATTGACAGTGTCTCTGTTTTCAGCCCACATCTCTTTTAGATGCTTTTTAATCTCATTCAGCTTCCCTTCATTGAAGTTCTAGTGCTGCAGTGTAAATTTACAGAGGTCAAATACAGTTATACAAGTGTCCTTTCTCAAAATAATGATAGTTTTTGATCTCATTCCTAGTTCTATATCAACTAGAATACTACGGGTATTGTTTATTCCTCAGTACGGTATAGAATATGAGAGCTAATTATTCTTTTTTTTCTACATGCTCCCTTTTCTGCTACATATTTATATCCACATCTCATTTTGCCTTTGCTGAAATGTTTGATGAAATCTGTACATGTCCCTTCTTCTCTATCATATAATGAACATTGTTTCTTAAGACTGTCCACCAATATTGTGTTCCACAATCTGCACTTCTCAACATTTTGTTCTGTTTCTTGTCATGCTATTGTTGCTCATGTATGTATGGAAGAGAGGAAATTCTAAACCCAAATGTGGCATTGTCTGTTTCTTTTTCTTGTTCTACAGAGATGTTGAAGGAGTTGAACCAACAGCGCAGAGCGAAAGAGTTTACAGACCTGAAAATTATTGTTGAAGGCAAAGAGTTTGAAGTCCACCAAAATGTTCTAGCTTCCTGCAGCTTGTATTTCAAGGACCTGGTGAAAAGGTTTGCCTTCGCTTCCCCTCCCACCAGCTGTTGATCCAATCTGTTCTTTTCATAGGGCGCATTTGTGTCGCTTTTTTTTTCCCTTCCCCTCTCTCTCTTGCAGGTGTGTGAAGACTTTGGTTCCTAGCACAGGGCCAGCAGCCATTCCTTCCTCTTCTCGCTCAAATGAATGTATCTGAAACTGGAGAGAAAAAAGGTCAACCCTCGTCATTACCTTTCCTCCCCATGTAGGGCAATTTAACCACATTTCCATTTTAATGAGCAGTGAACATGTTCCATGACTGGGGATGTTTTAAAACTCACCAAAGGGCCAAAACAAAAGAATCATACTTTCTACACTTTGGGTGGTAATTCGCCAAAGCCACTCTGTCTTCTATGGGCAGAGGGATTTTTGTCTCCCAAGCTACTATATTTTTCTGTTGCTAATTCTTGAGTTTTTGCTGCAAAACAGCCTTTTCATATGCTAATAAATCTTGGTTAGCGTAATAAAAAAGACAATTCAGAGTCATAAACAAAGGACAAAACAAAAGCACATCTAAGACAGCTTACTGAAGCAACACTTTCACAGGTTAACACTACCCTTCACTAATGTATTCATTTGATGTGGATCTAAGTATTCCCCTAGTATTCTGCCCTTCATACTCCATATTTTTTGTCTTCACGGGCTGTTTTGTTTCCGTGGTTTGCCTGTCTGCATACAAGTGTGTGCGTGCGTGGGTATGTGTCAGCTACAGACCTTTTTAGTGTCTCTAGATGTGTGTGCATACGTGTGAGTATGACTGTGTACAGTCTGATAGCGCAAGTATGTCTTCTTTTTTTTTATCTGCCTTGTTTTCCGGGAAGGGAATACCATAATTCCCTAATGTCCTCATCCTTACTTCAAATCCTTGCAGGTGTTTTCAGCTTGATTGAGAGTCCCCTGGACCCAAGTTATTTTGCCGCCTTGGTGTTGTTTGTGTGTGTGTGCGAGTGGGTGTTTGTTCTCGCTTGCATGGCTAGAGATGAAGTGCTGAGCAAAGACAAAGACAAAACAGGAAGATGCACACAGTTGCTAGCCGTAGCTAGAATGCCTCAGGGAAGTTTGCCACTTTGCCCCGCAGCCATGCTGCTTCCACTGCAAGCTCAATCAGAGAGCAGAGAGCCGCTTATCAGCTGCTGCGGCCTCCTCATTCGCCGGTGATACACTTGTTTCTCTTGAATGAGAACGGAGTGAGGAAAACCAGAGAGAGAACCTAGGTTGAAAAGCCACAGAGCAAGTTCTGTACTTGGACCACTCATCTCCATGACAGCTACACTCTTACACACCCCATGAATAAAAAGGAGACACTGAGTCTTCCTTTGACCTTGACAATCGCAGAGAAGCTCCCTGAGAGACTGAAGTGACTTTGGAGAGAACTGAAGCCCCCATGCTGGTCAACCTGTCTGTCAGATTGTCTCGTCTGTGCCTCTTATCCAGGACAAAGCCAGATCATTTATGCGTAAAGACAGGGTCCCTGAAATACACCGGGGCTCCCAGAGGAGCGGGCTGAATTTCATCAAGCTCATCCTCATGCCTGCTGCTGCCTACATTGTCTGATTTTTCGTGTTTAATTTGACAGTTTAATAGAGCAAATTCTCATTAATTGGTTAATTAATTGTAAAACTACTTTGATTTATTGTCATAACACTGTCATTTTTCATGAGATTATGTGTAAAATAGAAATCTTCTCATTTGACTTCACACTGGAGAATATCTAATGAATTTGTTATACTAATTGTTCATTTTGTAAGACGTCTTTGGTTTGATGTAATGGAGTCATGATCACAGCATTATGCTAACAATTACATAAGCGATGTGGTACCTTGACTTTATGGAAATGAGAGTGGCAATGAGAACAGGACAGTGGTGAAAAGTTGACAAGAGAAGGACAGAAAGGGAGTAAAAACAGATTAATAAAAGTGAGATCAGGCAGAGTATGAAGGGAGAGGAGGAGATCATTTTGGTCATACCTGTGAGTCATTTGCAGCCAGGCAGAGTGTCGCAAGCTCGGTCAGAGAGGAGCAGAGAGAGCCAAAGGCCCGTCTGTCATTGAGTTACGGCCTCCCATGTGCAGCTCAGGTCACTCTTTCAGTGCAGCTGGAATTATGCTGAGGCTACACGTGGCTCGCTACTGTCCACTTCTTTATGAGGTCAAATAAGAGAGAGAGAGTGACTTCATCTCCTTATAAGCCCTGTTACCCACCCACCCTCCCTCGCCCATCTCATTCAGGAGGCATTCACTGCCGTTCAGACCCCCTGTCAGCTCGCTATAAACCACCACGGTGTGTGTGTACATTATGTTCTTGAAATTGGGAATGTGTGTGTGTGTGTGTGTGTGTGTGTGTGTGTGTGTGTGTGTGTGTGTGTGTGTGTGTGTGTGTGTGTGTGTGTGTGTGTGTGTGTGTGTGTGTGTGTGTGTGTGTGTGTGTGTGCGCGCGCAAATGTACTTGACATGAGGCGTGCGCATGTGTTTTAATGCATGCATGCTTTTGTGTGCGTGCGTGCGTGCGTGCTCGCTCCTAGGATGCAAGGACATAATTCTTCTGTGTTATCCAGGCAGGCTGCCATTAGTCTGAGAGAAAGTAGAGATGTAATGCTGGAGGGTGAGGGAGTGCATATCACACTTATTTTCCCTGGCCTACCCCCCCACACACACACACACACCCCAACCCAATGACTCACTGAAGAAATTGAAGGCGTAATTGGCAACAAGCCGAAATTTAGCAGCACGGAATGGCAAAGTAATTATAAAAATTATGTTTTTAATAAATGTCGAAATTTTCTTTTTGGGAGATACGGTTTCCACATTAGGCACAGGTTTTCAAAGACATTTTAAAATTGGTGCTTCTATCTGGCAAATTTCAAGTCTTTTGAAATTCTCAGGTTTCAACAAAATCCTAAAATATATCTCTCCCTCTTTTCAACGTGCTCCTCCACTGCCCACCCTCACCTCAAGTATTCAGGCCTCCCCTACAGTATGTGTTCATTCAACCTGCCATCTTTACCCCATGATACCTGGAGGATGTAATGCCGCTCCGAAATGTACGCGCACGTCTAACCTCACCCCCACCCGAAAACCTATTACCCTACCCTTTAAAGGGCCGGTGCACAGAGCAGGGAGACAGATCATCTCCGGTAATTCCATTTTACCCCTCAGGATTTTCCAATAAGTGTGCTCTGCAGGCATTTAATTTATGGCCACTGCATCTGCGCACCCACAGTAATGTAAAAAGCTCCAGAATCTTTGAGCAGTCCTGACACATGCTTTCATGCCATTTGTTTCTCTCCCTGTCTCCTCTCTCTGTCGACCCATGAGTTTTCTATGCTTGTGAGTCAGAGAGTGTTATGACTATGAGGTGGGTAGAGAGCTGTGTTAAAGCCCTTTACAGTGTCGGCCCTGTGTGAACACTGCAGCTGAGCTCTGAATTCACTGTTCAGCCCTCTGCTGCTCCATTTAGCCTGAGGGGAAGACAGGACACGGTGAAACTCCCCTCAAATTTCAATTAGCAGCATTATTATGACTAGCTGTATTTAAAGGTTCAGTTCGCCTAAATTACAAATCATATTGTCTCACTTTTTTGTCCAAAATATCTGTTTGTGATACCCACTATCCACCGCTACCCTCCATTACAATGGAGATGAACACACTTTTGTTGGTTCAATACTGCTCACAGCATTGAAAAATCTCAAGTGTTTTTTTCAAGTAAGTTATCCTAAATCTCTCTTACCTTTTCAAGTGTTCAAGTCTGAGTCACCAAACTGTTTTAACTTAATTTCAGGCTGATGAAGGCCACCTGTTCACGAGTAGGTGGTTGTTTTGTGAGATTTGATCGTTAGTACAAATACTGCCATATTAAAACTACCTGTTGCGCTTAATTTGTGGCAAGTTTTGTTCACAAAGACGTCACCCAAAAGTAAAAAGAATTTCACACTGCAGAGCTTCAAGTTTCAGCATTGTCAGTCGTGGAAATGGGGCAAATATGAAAATATTAATAGAGATGACAACAGGGTGTCATGAAAAGTAATTGGCGAATTCATAAAATACCGTCTCAGCAGTTTTCATAGGGAGTATCTCTTTGGTATAAAGTAGTTTTAATGAAAACTGATCACAGTGAAGTATGTGGATTAGCCAAAGTAAGCAGAACATTATCTCTGAAAATAGATGTTGCTGTGTAAAATGCAATGCTGTTAGCACCACAAATGGAATTCCATTGACCTCCATTATATTCGGGTGAAGGCCGAAATTTCTCAGAGACTGATTTCTCAAAGCCTGGGCAAAAAAAAAATTCTTCACAGCTAGAACCCACTTAAGGTGGGTTACAACATGCATTGTTTTATTTCAGTGAACTGACCCTCTCATCATGAAGCTGCCAGCCTCGCAGTGATATCACAGAAGTGCTTAAGCAGCGTAAATTAAATGTCGATTTCAAATCCATTGGCAGTTGCAGGTGGTTGTTTTTCAATTTTCTGTCATTAATCTTCAAAATAAACTTCTATTTGTAAATTAAGTTATTGTATCAAGAGTTATGTCAATCCAATGTACACGTTTGGTTTTCCTCTTGTGCCGATGGCCCTGTGTTCACACTTGGACGGAGGTTTGGGCTTTTAAACCCTCTGCCAGTCACCCTGTCCTTTTTGTCCTTTAGAGCATCTGACACAAACTGGACTTGTTCCTGCCAGATAGCCTTGCAGTCTCCCCTTATTATACCTGATGTATGGATGGAATACAGTGGCTTCAGTAACACAAAGCAAACACAAGACACCCAACACAGATAAAGCTACCACATTACGTTTGTTTTTATTTGTAATTAATTCCAGATTTATGCTGTGACAGAACATGTAAGTGCAAGCCACTTTTAGCTCAGACAGCATAGGCTTTGCATCTGAATAAGCTTCTATCTTAACATATCTTGGTAGTGTATGTACTTGCACGGAATAGATGGTCTTGTAAGAACAAGCTAAATGTATTCCCTGTAAAATGGGCTTTTTTTAGATTGAAGGATGTATTAGGAAGTGTGTGTGTGTGTGTGTGTGTGTGTGTGTGTGTGTGTGTGTGTGTGTGTTGCAGCTCTCCTCCTTCCTCTCCGCCTCTGCTCACCACCATTTTGACAGTCTCTGCTGATTTTTAAGACTTCCTCTTGAATAAGTGGTGCATTTTTCACAAACAAATTTCTTTGCCTGAGTGTGCCCATCTTTTTCCCCCCTCCTAGCCCTATCTCTCCTCCTCTGTCTCTCCTGTCCTCCCTGCCTCCCTCTGTCACTATTTAAATTCAAGTCTGCAATCAGACGCAGCATAAATATCCACCTCTTTTAGAAGCTCCGGAAAAGTCATTTCCATAACATAAGTGCTCAGACAAAACAAACTGCCACTCGAGCTGGTTCCTATTGCACTAATTGAGCAGGTTGATGAGCATGCTCTTCTTTTATTTTTAGCCCCCCCCCCCATCTTTTCTTCCCCACCTCCCTTCATCACTTTAACCCTGAACGACACTCCCCTTCCCTTCTTTCTGTCTTACTACCTGCCCCCACTGCAGGGCTGGAAAAAGGGCAATAACACTATGTGGCTTTTTGCTTTGCAGGAGGAAAAAGAGTAACTACCTTGGTTTTTCCAGCCAATGTCCATCCAGAGACAAATGCCATTGTCTTATTTTATTTTTGGATGTCCTTCTCCCCTTTCACCTCCTGAGTGCGCTTTAAATGACGACTAATTGTCTCAGTTCATACACTACAGGCTACTGATGATTATTGCAGCGGGGACAAAGGCTCTGTTTAGGTGTGATGATGGATTTTTTTCGGGGGTGGGCAGGGATATCTCTTATTTAAAAGACCAAGGCACAGTCATGGAACAACCCAACCCCTCCCTCAGAAGGATGGCTGCTGGCTCCCTGTGGAAGAACCGTCTCGCCCTGCCTCCCTTCCTTTTGCTTCCTTCTCATCAACAACCTCCCAGCCCCCCCAAACCTCCCCTCTCTCATCTTCACTCTAACCATTTCGTCTACCTGTCTCATCTTGTTTGTTTTTCTGTCTGTGTCTCACTAAAATGCTGACTGTTTGTCATGATTTCTAATCCAAGAAACTGGTTCCAACAGAAATGGAAAAGAGAAACACGCGTGCACACACACACACACACACACACACACACACACACACACACACACACAGAAACACAGAAACAGACAGAGCTTTATCTTTGTGCTACCATGAGTGACAGAAGCAAACAGCCTCCATCCATCTTAATGTAGGCTACTTTTCATATTGCTTGTGTCCATAGCCACAGGAAGTGAGACATAGTAGTGGGGGAATGCGTTCTGTGGGGCTTTTATTCCATTTATTTTGCCCTTGAGTGGATTATTGTTTCACATGGGACATTAAGCACGGGTGGCGAGGTGTTATTTAACTCTCTCATACCTCCCCGGGGGGGATCCTGCATGTGAACTAATCTCTGCCATTTGATCCCGGTGAAGTCACAACGTGGCCCAGTTCTGAAAGCAGCCCTCCACTCCCCGCACATCTCAGGCTCTGCAAGGGATATCATATTCTATTTAATTTGCTCATCCAAGCACTCCCTGGCACCTCTTACACCATGCCAGTAGCAGTGGATACTCTTGCCTTAATACCCGACACACACACTTCAGCGGTGTAGGCTCACAAACAGCAAGAGCTCTCCAGTGCAACATGCTTTAACCAGCATACTTTACATTCTGTCATATGTCAGTGTATGAACTGTGCTGTCACTTTATTTCTCTCCGTTTTCTGTCTGATAGATCATATGTACCTTGCCATGTATGCATGTCCACCTCTAAAACTATGCATACATGAAAACACATATGTGATAAGCATGCCTGTTGAAACAAAGCAATAACTTTTGTTTGCCTAATCTTTGTTCAGAGAGGACATTTTGTTTCAGATGCAGCAATATAGTTGCAAATCTGCTAGCCCCATAGAAAAGTAGAAACCATCCAAAGTTCTGTTTCTGTCCCTTTTTCACTTTCTGTTGTTATCTTATTGTGTAATGATTCTCTTATTTTCTTCCCACTCTCGTACTGGCCCAGGTGTGTTATGGGTGTCGTGTGTAGCATACACATATGTGTCCCTATTCTTCTTTTTGTCTGTGTTTCCTCGCCTTTCCTCTCAGAGCATCCCTAACTCGCCTCTCTCTGCCGTGATTGGTTGATCAGGTCATCAGGGGAGACGCGGAGCGGGGAGGTGCTGGAGCTGAACATGAGTAACATCAGCGCCGACGTGCTGGAGCTGCTGCTCGAGTTTGTGTACACGGGATCGCTCGTCATCGACTCGGCCAACGCCAAGACGCTGCTGGAGGCCGCCAACAAGTTCCAGTTCAACACCTTCTGTAAAGTCTGTGTCTCCTTCCTAGGTAGGAACAGCTCAGAAAACGGTAGATTATTAGTGTGTGTGTGTGTGTGTGTGTGTGTGTGTGTGTGTGTCAATGTGTCATATGCTTATATCAGCAAGTGTGCATGCTTATTACATCAGATATTCCTGTGCAGCCTTTCCCCCTGCTACGTGCAATATCTACAGCCTCATGTATTTTCACACGTTGTCATGCTTCATCACTATGCACAGCCTTACAGGATGTGTTGTGCAGAACCTAAATTTTCTCCCTGACTTTGGCACATCACGCTCCTTTTTGTCATGTTTCCAAACCTAGCAGCCGTGCGGGTATTCTGCCTGCTAACACTCTCAGTCGGGCACTGTGCCTCTGATCTCGTCCCAGTGGGCAGGACCGAGCACAGGGGCAGATTTATAAAAAGGTCAGGGAACAATTGTCACTTAAATGTCAAATCCTCTGGCCTGAACCATGATGGAATCGAAAAATAGCAAAACAGATTGATACTCAGACAAGGTATGGAAAGCGGAGCAAAGGAGGGGAGGGGCTTTTCAGGGTGCCCAAGGGGTCACATGAAAAGCAAATTGCATGTTCCACATTTTAGTGGGTAACCAACCAAAAAGGCAACCAAAAAGCTGCAAATGTCAGGTTTTGCATTCCATTTAATAAATTGTTTTGGGTATCGGTAACACAAGGGAAGTGCATGTTAGCAAAAAGGTCAGCAGCAGGAAAGGAGTGAAAAGAAGGTAAAAGAGAACCAGCAAGCCCACGTTATTGATTTGTTTTTCTCCATTTGGGCAAAAGAACGGGTGAAACATGGAAACCATTTGTAGACTTCATTGCCAGTGAGACGTCAATCCATTCTTCCTCGACAAGATTCATGACATTTCAGCTCATTTGAAGGGGAGGAATACAGGCGCAAGTGTGTGTCCTTGAGCAAAGGGAAATTGATACTGTGTCAGATATTATTGAAGTTTGTAACAAATACACAGAGGAGAAATGGCAAACATCTCCTCGACCTACTTATACCACTTCGACTTTTATTCACAGAACTTTCAAACATATTGTGTGCCTGCTACTACTATGAGAAATCATGACTTAAGAAGATGATTCAAAGTGAATTAGCAACATGCTCCAAGTTTCAACTGTTGTTAAGGTTTTAGCCACAATGGAAGGAGTTTTTAAAAAATTTCACATTTTTTTTATTTATGCAACAAATTAAACTGGAAACCTGGCTGTCTAGTATTGAACAAACTGATGAAAGGAGTGTGCAACAAAATGTTCACAGAATGCAAACATACACGGTGAAATAACTCTTCATCTGCTCAAATAGCAGCTCAAGGACATTTTCAGACAGCTTTTTGTTTAGCCCCTAACCCCCACTTTGATGCAGTGCAAGGCCCACTTTTATTTGGTCTTTGGTTTGGCTTTTGTTCAGTTGTCATTTAGCAGATGTTTGGTGACCTTTATTAGCTGATATTTGTTTAGGAAAGACTCTCAGACTCTGTCTTCAGTGATAAAAGGGCTGGCGTTGCTTTCCTTTGATGGCTATTGTTTAATCAGGCCTCTTTTAGTGGCCACTGACCCAGCTGATCCGTGCCCGTGTGTGCACACTACGCTATCAACACAACATTCCCCTCTCTTGTGATAAATGGCACTGTGTGTTAAAAAACTAGAATTACAGATACACCACCTTAAACGCTGCACCCTCACAAGAGATCACAGGCCCCGGTATAAGCCTTCTCCCTGCTGGCCTGGCTATCAGGGTAGTTTCATATATTCTCGGATGTGTGTGTGTGTAGTAGACTCCCAGATCTGACAGGACTTCTTTAAAGTGGCCCAGCTAATCCCAAATCCCGCTCCCTGGCTTCTACCACCTCCTGCCTGGGCTGTGAGCGATCGATTCCCCTCCTTGTTTGTCCTTAGAGCTGTTTTGAGTTATTATACTTGTTCTCCCTTAGTCTCGGGCAGATACAGGCTATGGGTCTGTGCTACCTGCCGCCGCTTTTTCTTTCTCTGTAGCTTTCTACTTCTCTGATTTTTTTATGGATGTCTAAATTGTTTTTTTTTCTCTGTCTTAATCAGTCTGCCTGTGTCTTTGTTTCTTTCTTGTTTTGGTTTCTCTGTCCTCTCCGTCTGTCTTTCTGTCTGTCTCCTCATCTCCCCGACCTTGTATATTATTTATCCAGAGAAACAGTTGACTGCCGCTAACTGTCTGGGAGTGCTGGCTATGGCTGAGGCCATGAGTTGCACGGAGCTCCATAACATGGCCAAAGCTTTCGCACTGCAGAACTTCCCTGAGGTGGGTACAGAATTATCTTTCCCAACAGTCCATTCATTGATCCCTGCGGAACAAAGTTGTGCACTAGTTCTGAGACAATAAAAGCTATTAGCAAACAGCAATAAAATCTAATTGAAATCATGACCATAGAAAGTTAATACCTTTAGTGATCAGTAAATGAATAAACTTGAGTACTGCCATTTTTACTCCACACTACTCCTTTGCATTGCAGAGAGAAAAACACTTTCACTTTCTACTTTCTGCTGTAATTAGTAGGTTAATATTAAGATCATGGATTCAAAACATACAAAAAGTCAAAAGTTATGCATTTTTAGTTTAAATTAGCATATATCATCTGGACTAAGTTTAGTTAGTTAAGTGTCAATATTATATTTTAATCTCAACAAGTCATTTACCTGGTTAAATAAAGAATATATATAGGTATACACACATAAAAAGCTCCTTTCAAGTTTCTACCTCTTATTAGGCTTTTACCACAGAGGATGCAATTGTAGGAATTGTAGGAACACAATGTCCTGTACAATGTGTGTATTACCCAGCAGCTGTTAGATAACCTGATGTAAAAAATAAGTGTAAGAAAAATAAGCTTTCTTGTAGCTTAAGAAGAGGGTGAAAATCACTTTGGAAAGAGAACTGCTTTGCTGCATTGTATCTCACTTGTCAGACCTCCAGATAGTCAGTTAATCTTACTAGTTAACCTTCAGCTGTGACACTGGATACAGCTATTTGTCAAGAAGCATATTGTGTGAATTTTTTTGGGGAAATAAACTTATTCGCTTATCTTGCTGACAGTTACTGTAAATGTGAAGATTAATACCACTCTCATGTTGGTCTGTCATTACATATGAAGCTACAACCAAGGTGCATAAGACTGGAAGTAAAGGGAAACAGCACTGCCCAAAGCTCAAAGCCATCCATACCAGCACCTCTAAAGCTCACTAATTAACAAATTAAAGGAGGAGAGGTTGACAACAGAAAACATCTTTTTACTACGTAGTGCACTACAACTGCTGTCCACCATTTTAACTGAATTATTTGAGTGTTTGCTCTTCATAGAGTGGAGCGAAAAAATGATTGTCCATGGCATGTACACAATTTCTGCTAACACACAACTGTAGCTAACAATGTGTAACTTCTCTCAAAACCAAGCTATTTTTTTTTACATTTCTGTGAATGCATTAAACAAATAAGACACAAGTTGAGTGGTGGATTTTATTTAACTTTGGAAAGAGCCAGACCTTAATGCTAAGCTCCTGGCTCTAGCTTCATACTTAACCAATATGAGTGTTATGGATCTTCTGATCTTACTTTCTGCAAGAGAGCAAATGAGCATATGTTACACAATTTTAAACTCTTCCTTTGAAATCATAGAACCTTTTAGATAAAAGCTACAAACAACTGGGGAAATTTGATTGGCAGTTATCAACCTGTCATTTGAACTTAACAAAGTGACCTATTGAGAAATAAGGAAACATGACTAATCAGATTAGATATACAGTCGGGGACCATTAGTCTTGTTGATCTTTTCACTTTCAACATGGGACAAGTGGACCTTTCTTTAGAATGACTACACTAAAAACACCCATATTATGATTTTAAATGAAAGAGCTTTATATAATTCCAAAATAATCTCTGTATATTTAGTTTGCAATGCCTCTAGAAGGAATGCTAGTAAATAGAATTTTGGACATGTTTTTACACCATTTCTGTGTCATATAAGGAGTTTGACTACTGTATTTCATAACTTTAGGTGGCAGGACAGGAAGAAATTCTGAGTGTGTCCAAGGAGGATCTGGTGTCCTATCTGTCCAACGACAGTCTCAACACAAAGGCTGAGGAGCTGGTCTACGAGACAGTCATCAAGTGGATCAAACAAGACTCCAACTCCAGAGCGCAGGTAATAAAAAAGAGAGCAGAGGAGTGTGTTTGTGAAGCAAGTGTCTGCTCTACACAGACACTACAGTGTACCAAAACGAGCACACATGTATGTGTATCATGAGACAAAAGAGTGAGATAAAACCCTCGTTACCACTGACAGTACAGATGCTGTATGTCTGCAGAACCGTATTAGTGTGGTTGTTCTATCGACTATCCCTGTCTGTTCCCAGAGGTACACAGCATAAAAATCCAGACAAGTGACTTCTCGTTCTCTCTTGGTAGTGTTCATCAACTTTGTGCTTCAGATGCAGCCTAACACAGCAGTTGTTCATAATCCCAAGAGTGCTTTGCCCTCAGAATGTGCTCTATTCTTAGTTACACTTCATTTGTTTGTGAGACACTGTACTGCATGGAAAAACCAACAAAAACACAGACAGCCACAGTCCTTTTTCTGTACACATAACAGGTGTTTGATTTATTCCTAGAGGCTGTTAATCATAATCAGAGGTTTTTTACCTTTTAGATAGGTATTGACAGAGAGATACAGCAGGTCAAATTTGAACAAATATGGAATCGATAAGGCTCAAGGTCAGAGAGTCAGCTCACATTCATGAAAAGGTAAATGGACTGCTCTGTAGATGGATATCCATCCAGCGGGTAAAAACCTCTGGTCATGAGATTTTTATGGGTTCAGTCACAAAACCATGAATTTAAAGCTGATGATTTTAAAGTATTTTATAGCAGTTTAAAAATGGAGGTGAGATTATTATCAGATAAATTACACCGGTCCGTCAGTGGAAGACTCATTCATTCAAAATAATGTCTTCTCATCAACCAGCAAGAGGGGGAACTCTCTTATATCAGCTCTATCAGATTCAGTGCAGACCTCCGTAATCAATGTTACTTTATTGGCACACACTTTTATGAGGCGCATACGTCAATATTTGAATTTTTCACCTTTTGGATTAAACATTTAGCATTTATCCTTTGATATGTGGCACTCTGAGATTATGGTGAAATCCATCAGGACTACTGAGTGTTTTGTAGTGGAGGATTTTAGAGTATCGAGTTTAACACAAAGCACAGCGACAAACCATCAAAAGCAGATGGTGATGCTCGTTAGTTGTTCTCTCCGGTGCTAAGATTGTAATAAAAGAGAAATAGTATGGAAGAAGTGTTTATGACATGGGTATCAAACACCCCTACTGATAAATCCACTTAAATTTGACTCTGTGGTTTTGCAAATTTGCAAGGAGCCACAACAAGGCAGATGCACAGTTTTTAGGAGAACCTGCAATCCCTGTCATCTGCATCAAAAACCTCCAGCTGGCTCAGTCCAGCGAACTCCTGCAATCTCACACTCTAATGGAGAGGTGCAGAGGTGACTTACTCAGATGAAGTAGCAGAAAAAAAAGAAATGGAACATTTTCCCGGTTGTCTGAACAACCCACCACACCGGTTCCTGAGACGAGACACCCGGGTCACCCCGTCTCCGAAGAGAGAGGGAGAAACGGAGGAGGAGAGAGTTGGAACGAGAAAAAGAAACAGAGCAAGACTGAAAGACAGAAACGGGCCGAGCAGTGATTGAGAAAAGAGAAAGAGGTGGTGAGAAATGAAGAGGGGGGGAATAGAAAAAGAGCCCCTGTGTTCTAATCTGATATCCAACGGTTTGTGCCTCTGCGCACGGGCGTGACATCCAGGCAGCAGAGATGTGATTGAGCTCTCGGTCAAGCTCAAATCTCCTGCCCATGTGTGACCGAAAAAAACAACCAGCAAGCCTGGTGCCTGAGGAGAGGGCAGGACATGAGGAGAGCAGAGAGAAAGAATAGGCGTCTTCCATCATGCCACAGGAGAAGGTTATATGACCCTGAGGGTTGAGTTTACACGCATGGTCCAGCACCAGCTCATCATTTCCCACCCCCCCTTGCATCTGTCCCTTCTGCCCCGTTTGGAGGCAGAGAGCAGTGGAAATCACTCCCCCAGAACCTGTGACACTTTTTAATGACATGTCAGGGCAGAATGTCACAGCACTGCTGAAAAAACTCAGTCAAGGGGGGGGGGTGGAGGAAAAGCTTTAAGCCTTGAGCTAAGTTTGTGTGCGTTTGCGTTCATCTGAGCGTGCACGTGTGTGTCTTTTTACGCTCGCGTCTCTGTGCATGTGCTGTGAGTTGTAAGCTGCAGGCTATAGAGTGGAAAAGTGGCATATTGAAGGCGCTGGGTAAATAATATGCAATTTTCTCTCTCCGCTATGCTGTCACTAACATCCGATGGCACCAGGAAACGGGTCCTGGACATCGCTTGGTGACAGAGGGAGAGCATTTGAGCGTTAATAATGGTTTGCTTTGAGACACAAAGCCACTGAATGAAAGAAGAGAGCTGTTTCAGTTTTCTTTGATTGAGTATCATTGAAGGGGTGCCACCCTGCGTGTGTATGTCTGTTACAGAGACTTCAAAAAGCTTGCAACACAGGTGCATTTTTAAGAATCTATTGCTGGTAGTTAACAAGTAGTTAACTGAGTTAAATGAGTTAATAAATTAAAGCTACATAAAATTATGTAATCTTTAAAGGAATAATAATTATTGTGAATACGCTTATTTTGCTTTCTTGCTGAGAGTTAGATGAGAAGATTGATACCACTGTCACATATGCTCTGTAAGGTGAAACAGTTTCCCCCGTTACCAGTCTTTATGCTAAGCTAAATCAGATCTCCCAGATGTAGCTTCATTTTTAACAGACGAATATGAGAGCGTTATTGATCTTTACAATGAACCCTTAGCAAGAAAACGAACAAGTGCATTTCCCAAAATGTCAAACTAGTAATTTATTTAGCAAAAATATCAAACAGGGTTTTTTTGTTTTGTATTATTGTAAGTTGCATATGTTTCGGTTTTGGCCTGTTGTTCAGACTAAACAAGCAGTTTTCAAACGTTACTTTGTATTCAGGTAAATGGTGAGGGGCTTTTTTCACCATTTCCTGCCATTATTTGGCTACCCAGTTAATCAGAAAACTAATCAACAGATTAATTAATCATGAAAACCTTCATTATTGCAGCTCTGGAATTAATTATGCACACCATAATGTACTCGTGCCTCTAAACACGGAGACTCATCCTTCAGTACATCTGAGAACTAAATCCGCCTCCGCATTTAGTCTGTAAGACACTGGTTACATAAGTTAAATAAACAAGAGGCTGGAAAAATGGTGTCCTGTCTTGTGTTTTCTCTGTGAAGTTGCTGACAGAGAGAGACCTGTCCTTCCTTTTCACCCTGCAGTCTTTTGTGGGATGGCCACAGACACATGGCTCCAATTATAACAGGCCAGGCTCTGCCAAATCCCTGAATAGAACCTCCATTACGCCTCACTTCAACATATTTTATAAAGGATCCTATCTTGCCAGGTGACTCAACCTGACAAAAGAGACTGATTAATTGGCTCTTTGGAAAGTGGCCAACTAATGTAACAGCTAAAAAGGACAGTTAATGGTGTATTTTCATGATAAAAAAGGACAGCCTTGCCATTAGCAAGGACCTGCTGTCCACTCATCAAAAATAACAATGGCCTGCAATGACATTTGCAGTTCCCAAGCCAAATTAATATAGTTAGAGGTTTTACTTCATATGCGTATAAGTTACTAGTTATTATTTGGGGCATTTTTTACAATTGACTCTGATAATGCCGTGATTTGATTTATTTTGCCTCCAGCATTCATTAAGAAGGAGGGAAAAAATAATTTTTCCAGAACAAATGATGCTATCATTATGCAGAGTATAAAATTATCGAAGGACAAAAATTCTTTGAGGCTGTGTAGGGACATAAACTGAGTTTTCCTCACTGTTTTACAATTAATTTACCTTCGAAACTACAAATGACCCTTTCACCACGAGGATCACTTTTAATTTAGTGATTCCCTTTTTAAGCTCCCTGTTTAAAATGTAAAGTTTTCATCATTGTGCACTCCTGAAGAAAAGGTGGATTGTGTTTTATGAGTTGATGAGCTTTATGGCACAACAATCATCCTTGACTAGAGGAGAAAATTGTTGTAGGGCGAGGCCAAATGAACGTGTAAGCCATCGCCAGCATGATCTTTGACAAGTACGCACTCTTGAGGAGACGTAGCCAGGCAATGGAGATTGATGCGGTGGGCAATCTTTGCTTTTTCTTCTGCCTCTCTGCCTCATCTCCTCTTTTTCTTTTTTCCTCCAGCTCACATGAGTTTGAGGGAAACAGTACATACACACATGGGAATTTACACAAACTGCACAGGATGTCACTGTTCATATCCTAGTTTCAAACTTTCACAGAAGACTGGAAATCACTTGTATATCGGGTTCTGGTACGACTTGCGTATTAGAGAGTGGACGGGATCTGATGCGTGCCACTGAACTCCGGACCCCCATTCTCATCGGTGTCCTTTGTAGTCCCAGAGCGCGCTCGGCCCTGATGTGTGCAGCCAGTTGAACCGTAGTCAGTCAACCACGGCGGCTGCATATCCAGAGCAAGTCAAAGGCGTCTTATTTCCACTGGGCTCTCTTATAAACACACAAGAAGTTGTATGAGCTATAGGACACAGAGAGAACAAACTAAATCTGTCATCTGTTCAAAGGAAGCGATCTTCCCAAGATTCATGAGGAATAATAAAAATGTAACGCACTCTATCACAGACGAGGAAAATACAGAACTTGCTACAGAAGAAACAACAACCCAGAAAGTTTAATGTTAATATACAGCAAGCAGCCGTTCATCTGAATATGTTTTTAATTAAATGAGCGGAAGAAAGCTTTTTTTTGTTTTGTTTTTAATGAAGTCATGTTGAAATAGGCCTCAGAGGCGAACACATTGCACCTGTCAGTAGCTGCTCAGGGCAGCAGTCAGCGTCTGTCGTCCGCTACATCTCTTTCCATCCCCCATCCATCCTTCCGGCTGATATGCACGCATACTCGTACAGTCGCAAAACAACGACACACACAAACACGCTTAGCAAAGCATCTCTTGAACCCAAATGAAGTGCCATTTGCTA